TTTCCATCAGGAGAGAAACAAACTGAGCTGACTTAATACTAATGACCATCTAATTAGGCCTTTTATTATCCTGTTTTGACATCCCAAAGACAGATAGATGCATCACCACTTCCAGAAGCTAATTTAGTTCCATCAGGAGAGAAACAAACTGATTTAACATTATGACTATGATTTTTCAATTAGGTTTTTTATTATCTTGTTTTGACATCCCATAGACAGATAGACTTATCATCACTACCAGATGCTAATATATTTCCATCAGGGGAGAAACATACAGATTAGACATAATTAGAATGACCATCAAATTTGGCTGTTTATTATCCTGTTTTGACATCCCATAGACGGATAGACTTATCATAACTACCAGATGCTAATGTATTTCCATCAGGAGAGAAACAGACTGACGTGATTGCATTAGTATGACCATCCAATTAGGTTTTTTATTATCCTGTTTTGACATCCCAAAGACCGATAGACTTATCTGCACTACCAGATGCTAATGTATTTCCATCAGGAGAGAAAAATACAGATAAGACATAATTAGTATGACCATCTAATTTGGCTTTTTATTATCCTGTTTTGACATCCCAAAGACGGATGGAGTTGTCACCACTACCAGATGCTAACGTATTTCCATCAGGAGAGAAACAGACTGATAATATATCAATAGTATAACCATCCCATTTGGCCTTTTATTACCCTGTTTTGACATCCCAAAGACGGATAGATCCATCATTACTTCCAGAAGCTAATGTATTATTACCAGGAGAGAAACAGACTGAGTTGACATAACGAGTATGAACATTTAATTTGGCTTTTTATTCTCCTGTTTTGACATCCCAAAGACAGATAGAGTTATCTGAACTACCAGATGCTAATGTATTTTCATCATGAAAGAAACAAACTGAGTTGACAGATTATTAATGACCCTCAAATTTGGCTTTTTATTATCCTGTTTTGACATCCCAAAGACGGATAGAACAATCACCACCCCTAAAAGTATAAAGATTACCACCACCAGATGCTACTATATTTCCATCAGGAGAGAAGCAGACTGACAAAACATTATCACTATGACCATCTAATTTGGTTGTTTACTATCCTGTTTTGACATCCCAAAGGCGGATGGAGCTGTCACCACTACCAGATGCTAATGTATTTCCATCTGATGAGAAACAGACAGAATAGACATCATTAGTATGACTATTTAATTTGGCTATTTTTTTCTTACTCTTAACATCCCATAGACTGATAGACTTATCTTTACTCCCAGATGCTAATATATTTCCATCTGGAGAGAAACATACTGAGTTGATATAACTAATATGACCATCTAATTTTGCTTTTTATTATCCTGTTTAAACATCCCAAAGACG